GAACTTGCTCTTGCCGGTGAAAAACTCCAACCCCTGAATTTGCTTAAAATCGGCTTTTATATACGTTTCGTCGTCCATCACACAGCAGCCATATTTTGTCAGCATCTTCTCGTAGAGCTTCCGTGCCCGAGTTTTAGCCGTCGATTGTTGCCGCTCATCGCGGTTTGGGAAGTTCTGTACCTTGTATGTATGTAGTCCAGCTCTCTTCTTTGCATTCTGGACGTAGCTCTGCGACATTCCAATCTCTTTAGCCAAATCACGGCTTGAGACGTTGGGATTTGCTTTAATCATCCGCTTCACCTTTCCCTCCGTCTTTTTGTTCTCCGGTCCCGGTTTTCTTCCAGCTCCTTTGCCGTGGTCCAACGTCAACCGCTCCTGGAACCGCTTCAACACTCTGGAGACGGTTGAATGGTGAATGTTCAACATTTTTCCCAACTGCCGGTGCGACAGGTCAGGAAATTCCAGGTGTTTGCAAAGAATTTGTTCTCTCAACTCGCGTTGGTTCACCTCCATTTTCGTTGAATCGAAAAACACGACTTCGAGTTTGACAGCAAGTACACAATACACATCAATGAGAAAGTGTGCAAAATTTGGTTGATTTTTACCCAATGGTAAAAAAGTTATGCCCTGTTGAATGTGTCGCAATAATTTCGTGTTCGCCCTTTACTTCTGGACAACCTCTATTGCATCTGGGAAGTAATCCTTGCAATTGTTTATCTTCCGCTTATCACCAGACAGTACCAGTCCGGTTCAGTTCAAATTTTTGAACGAGTGCATATTGAACAGGTTCATCGAATCAAAATTGTTGCGCATGAAATCTGTTGTTATTGGATTGTGGTTCTGGAAGAAGGACATCGAAATGGATTCGAACCAATAGTCAAGCATATCTGGAACAAGTCATAGCTATAAATTTTCCGGCATAGTTGTTGTGATTTCGATGTTATCGATGCGATTAAAAGAATTCACAATAAAACCGGAGTACTTTTTCAGCTCACATCCCGCTTTTCACTTATGGTTTTTCGGAACTTACATCAGTAAGATGTTGATATTCTGTTGTTAAATATTTAAACTCTTGTCAAAGAGACTAAATCAGCGGTATACACCCCTTATCAAATTTCTCGCTGTTATTCGGACTTAGTATAATTTTAAAATAAATTTTATTCAAATCAATGTATAAACATTGTTAAAACATTAAATGATTAAATTTTAATCTTTCTTTGGTTACTAATATTTTTGAGTGCAGAGCAGGCGCAGTAACCCCTCACCCAGGGTTGCCACATATACAGATTATTCTGTATTTTACAGATTTTCTGGATCATTTCAGGACCAAGAATCTGTATATACAGATTTACAGATTTTTATCTAAAATACAGATTATACAGATTTTTACTGAATTCCAAATAAATGTCCTAATTATTTTTAGATCATAGTACGATTTAAGTTTTCATTGAGCATACATTGTATTCAGTGTGCACAAAATACATTACCATTCAAAGTGTTTTTGCTACTTCATTCGTGAAATGTACGATTTTCAGAGTTGGTTGGAAATGCTACATGAAACTTTAGTGGGATAATTTATAAACATTACCAATTTCTGAGTTGTTTTTATGTTCATCCAGTAACTTAAAGCTTCTTTAGGATATTGACTTTATGTTCTGAAAATTGACTAAATAGCTTAAACAAATATTAGTTCAAGATCCTCTCTGTCAAAAATATGATGATATCGAAATGACAGAAAGTGTGTGTTCAATATACATTATACATTATAAGAGGTACACTTAATATAAAATGTTTTGTTTACCTAGAAGAATTCAGTTATTTATGCGGAAAGCAAATAGTTTTCAACTGTGCAAGGCTCGGTGTTTGAAAATATTTGAAATAAAAGAATTTATTACATCAGCTATTAATTAGTTGGTTATTAGTATGGATGCAAATTTTTTGATGAATTGGGAATATATGCTCAGTAAAGTAAAATTTCTAATAATAATTTTTTTACGGTAGCATTTTTCATAATATTTGTTCAACGATTGATGCAGATTTTAAATACAGATTTTTTGCATCAAGATACAGATTTACAGATTTTTTTTTCAGAAGAAATACAGATTTAAATGTGGCAACCCTGCCCTCACCATCCCTCTCAAACGGGGGAGTTTGGTAAAGAGAGATGATCAAACCGATTTGTACCTTCATTCATAAAAGTTGTCCTTGCTCGCTTTCTACTCTCTATATATACAATTTCACACTGCTCACACGGAACTATCAACTCAGTGCTAACATTTGAAAACGGCGCAAAAGCCATTTGTAAACAAATGGTTTGTGGGCCCTTTACTCGCTACCCGAAGAACGCCCACGCAAACCAACAGCATCGTCAGGAAGGGGAAAATTTCCCCTACCCGATGTTGCTGTTGTGTCGCGTGGGTGTACTTCAAGTAGTGAGTAAAGGGCCCACAAACCATTTGTTTACAAATGGCTTTTGTGCCGTTTTCAAATGTTAGCACTGAACTCTACTTTCATCTCCTCATATATATTTACCTCAACTCTATACTTTCATCTCCTCATCTATCGTATAAAAATTACCACTCTAGTCTGTTATTTGAAATTAGCATCTTCAACTATGTAAATCGTTGACTTCACGCAGAAGTAATCTAAAAAAAAAGTTAAAGTAATATAATAATATTTTATTTAAGGAAAAATTGCTATTTGGGTTAGGTGCTCGAAGCTGCTCAAAAGCAAGAAACGATTATTTTTTGGAATGAATAAATATTTATTTATTTATTTATTTGTCAGCATCAACAGACTCGATATGGTCCCAATGATGGTTTAACTTAAAATTAAAATTAAAGTCATAAGTTAAAACTACGAAAAATTAAAACATGATCATTGACTGTTTCCATTTCTGGAGAAGAATGAAGAGAAACGTCTCCGAAGTGGCAGGTGAAAATCGAATACTGATGAAACTCGGTTAAATACTCGCTGCAGTCCGCCTATTGCACCGTTGATTGCATAGTTTGTCCTACGTAGTTGCATTCTCAGCATAACATTGCTACGAAACATTCGGGGTTGGACGTTAATGTTTACTTGCTCCAAGATTGCCATGCAATCAATTCTGCCATGTAACGTGTCCGCGACAAGCAGGGCTTTTGAAGTATCTCTTCTCCAAGTCGATCAGCTGGCAGCGACTTTCATAGCTGGGCAAATGGAACGGGTCTCTCCAAGGTAACATTCTCAACACGTATCGCAGAAAGCGGCGTTGAACTGACTCGACTCTCTCAGTACCATGATTGTAGTTCGGACTCTAAACCACAGAACAATATTCTAGAATGGAACGTACCAGGGAACAATACAGTGACTTGAGGCAATGGATGTCGGAGAAATTCTTAGTTCTGAAGATAAAGCCCAATGTCCTTGACGACTTGTCGACGACGTACGAGATGTGTTGCTTATATGTAAGTTGAGAGTTCAGGATGGCACCTAGACCTTTTACATGGCTCACACGTTCAATAATGGTGTCCCGGAGAGCATAACTGGTTCTTTCTTTCGGGTATAATTTATGACTGAACACTTCGTAGGATTTACTGTCATTCGGTTCAAATGGCACCAGCTTCAAACTGACGTTGGAGTAATTGACAATCATCGATCGAGCAGATCCGTAAGAAGATTTTGAGATCGTCTGCATACGATAGTCGTGGACCTTCGATAACTAAACTCACGTCATTGAAGTAGAGTAAGAAAATCAACGGTCCCAGATGACTTCCTTGAGGTATTCCTGACGTAGCTGCGAAAATGTCGGACTGGCAGTCACCATGGGCTACCACCAACTGACGATCGGCGAGATATGAGCAAAACCATCTCAAGAGATTTCCGCTAATCCCAAGTCTATCCAATTTGGCGATCGCGATGGCGTGATTTATCTTATCGAAGGCAGCAGACAAGTCAGTGTAGATGACGTCTGTTTGTGACCTTTCAACCATACTTTGCGTGATGTACGATGTCAGACACAGTAGATTCGTGGTAGTACATCGACCAGAGGTGAAGCCATGTTGATCTTCACTTAGATACTGCTTGCAATGGGAGAGCAGAGGCTCTATGATGATTAACTCGAATATAATCCAGAGTTAAATATATATTCCGCTTATTTTAAAATTCTGAAAAATCTGTATATTAAAAAAAAATCTGTAATCTGTATCAAAATATTGAGATAAATCTATATACGTGGCATCACTGGTTATGGCGTTCGGGGTAATGTAGCACAATCGCTCTACATGCTATATATGCTTTTATATAGATGAAATTCCAAACGATTGTAATGCCACGTTCCGATTGCGAAGTTATAACATGACAAGAAAAAATTCATCAAGATAGGGTTATAACGTATAGGCTCAGTCTGGCCAGCGTTTAAATCAGTAAATCATTTGTTGTACACAGAAATTCAAAACAACCCAAAATTAAGTTCTTTTCACTCATCTCCCATGTTCCGTACGATAAGCCAAATTTGGGTAAACCGGCTCAAAGTAGTTTGCATTTAAGCACGGCAAAAAAAATTACCCATCGCTAAGTTATTTTCAATTTTTTCTACCCAAAATTAAGTTCAATTAACTCAAATTTGGGTATATCGCATATTACTCAATTTTGGCTTCTTGTACGGAACTAGACGGTTGAGTCGAATCTTTCGTTCTATTTTTGACAACAATAGCGAGAGGAAATGAAACGGACAGAGGTCAAATAACTCAAATTTGAGTTTAAAAAACCCAAGCGGTGGGTAGTTTTGTTTTTCTGTGTAGCAATATCTGAATATCAGTTGTGAACAATACAAAGAACATATTATTATTATAACATTTTCATAATATTTTATTGACTAAATTGCATGAACACTCAGTAGGGTTTGATGCATATATTATGTCACGCTCTAAGGGGGGAGGGGGGATCTAAGATTTTGTGACAAGCAATGCATTAGGTATAGGAAAAACGTCACGATAGGGGTTGGGGGGGAGGGGGTAATTTTTTGCTCTCCATGATAATCCTTTGAAATACAACTGACATGCCTATTTGAATCAGGTATTGAGTTGTTCAATTTCGACATCAGCAGCTCTGCCTTCATCCCTGGATTGGTGGATTGAACGTTTGCGGCGATAGGTACTTCGGTGTACTTCCAGACCTGCGTTGATCCGCACGTGCCTATTGTAGGCATTATTTGTTATGAACCGGTCGCCACATTGGCTACATTGATACGGGCACTCCTTCGTGTGAATTCGCCGATGCCTCAGCAAATCCGAGCTGGTGGCGAAAGCTTTTTTGCAGAAATCGCAAATATGTCGAAAATCTTTCGTGTGCTTGTAAATAATATGATGCTTGAGGTATGTTTTGTTCTCAAATACTGCTCCACAGGAATCGCAAACCAACGGTGGCAGTTTGTGCTTTCTTCGATGCGAGTCCAGTGATCTTTGCAGTCGATATTTAGCGTCACATTGGTCGCACTGAAATTTATATTCTAGTTTATCTAGCTCTTCCTTGGGGCGCCTTGTTTTGACCGGTATATGTCGCATCTTGAAGACGTGACTGTCCATATGCGTCGAACGGTGCGCTTCCGAAGTGAACTGTTTGTCACACTCGAGACAACTGAACATCATCATCGACTTGAGCGTCAACACTTCATAGGATTCGTCTGATATATGATTTGGATTGACGGAACTCTGCTCCATGTGGTGGTCCAGGGCAGACTGTATTAGAAATTCTCGGAAGCAATATGTACACCTTAAAAGTTTTGCCGGGTGATGATTTTTCATGTGATAATATAATCGGATGTGATGATCGAAATCATCCCCACAAATGGTACATTCCTTCGGTAGATGCGATTTAATATGTTCAGTGAAAGGTTTACGCCTGAAAAAAAAAAGATATGTAAATCTCACTATGTTCTATGATCAAGTAATACAGGACTCATACCTGTCAAATATATCCCCACACTCCTTACATTTATAGCTTGTAGCCAACTTCTCATGTACCATCTTAGCGTGAGCTCTCATCGTACCAAAACTCGAGAACTTTTGATCGCAGAAAGTGCATTGAACCGTAAGCGGGCGGTCTTTGTGAACAACAACGTGCTGGGCCATCACGTGTCTGGATTTCAGAATAATTCCACAAAGCTTACAACCGTACTTGTGGTAATCTCTCAAGTGAGTTACATACGTTTGAGCCTGCAGTGACTCCCGGCAGTCTGATATAGGACAAACTGTAAATTTTTCCGGACGCTTTGCCTTTGGACGATCAAGATCTTTTGGTTCCTGTCTTGTTTGTTTTCTACTGACCTTCGCAGGCGGTTCAACATTGTCCTCGGAATTCGAGTAATCGGTTTCAGTTTCGTTCTCTAGTTTTACCGAAATTATCTGCGGTTTAAAAATGTCTCCTACTGGCTCGGTTACACTTGCGACAAATCCTGTTTCAGCTAGATAAGATTTCATGAAAAGTTTGTCGGTACTGATGATACCTAGGCGGACCAGATGGGACCTTAATTTATCGCTAGTTTTCCGCTCGATCAACTCCACTAATGGTTCTTCATTGCCGGATATTTTGGCCTCAACTAGTACCTTATAAAATTTGTACATTTCCGTGGATTGGCTGCGAAATCGATAGACGTTCTGAAGCTCGCAGTAGCAAGCCTGGCAAATTGATCCCTGAGGTGACAAAGAATCGTTCTGTAATCAAATATTTATTTATTTTTATTTGAAGAAATGCCTTACCCAGCGCAAGTCAACTTACCACTGACGGTTCAAAGGACATTTCCAGCAACAGATCGTGGACAGAGAAACCAGATTCCGGATGAATTTGTTCACATTGAATGACGTCGAGTGGATCATCTCTGGAGGGCTTCAAACAAAGGCGGCAACATGCCGGAAAATCATGCGAGTTCAGCATGGTTGAGATCTCACTCAAACCATCCGAAAAACCTGCAGAAAATATTGAATCCATTCGGATAAAGCTACGATTACACTTCAATAAATAGCAATTAATTATGAACCAAGTCGAGGATCGACTTTTTACGAATATTCTCTTATGAATTTTCTGCATGCAAACAGCAGAAAAGGACGAGCAAGCGAGTAATGTCAGTGTTGTTTTGACAGTTTACACAGAAATTCAAAACAACCCAAAATTAAGTTCTTTTCACTCATCTCCCATGTTCCGTACAATAAGCCAAATTTGGGTAAACCGGCTCAAAGTAGTACCAACAATCAATACGAAACTAACGATTTTAAATTGGCTCACTACTTGACTAGCCTATTGGTCCCAAGCAAACGATTAACGTATCCCATTCTAGTCGAAATTCTAGTACTACACAATGTTTGTTTTGATTCGCTATGAAAGTTTGACAGATAAAATGAGGGATTATTGGTTTTTCCTATGTTTCGAGGGGTGAATCGATTAGCTTGGGACCGAAGAGAGTACCAGAGCTGAGCCAAAAAGTTGAGCACGTTATTTCGGGACCTTCTGGTCTTATGGTGGTAAGCTCCAACCGGTATTATCCTCGGATTAAATCCCGATCAAGAATGTCCGGCTGGTTTGATGTCGACATCAGAGTTAATCAACATAATTCTGAGCAAACATTTTTCAGATCATACAAACAGGGACGGTATTAAAAGTTAATCCGAGTTGGAGCTTACCGCCATTAGTGTTACCTCTATGGTAGTACACAGAAACAAAATCCATAGGCAAAATTACTATATTGATGGTTTAAGTTAAATACTCCCACCAATAGATTTGTGCAGAAACGAAATTCATTTAATTTTACTATTTTTTCTATCAAAACTATTATGCCGTTTTAGTAAGCATAGTAGTTTTGACAGAATGGTATTAACTTTGTTTATATTTATAGTCAATTATACTGAAATCATGGTGAATTTAACGGCATTAAGCGTACCCGAAAAAAAATAACAACAAAAATACATTAAAAAACAATGTAACAATAAGACGAAAATTATTGTCTTAACAATGATTTATATTGTTACGTCTACAATAAATTTACCTTGATTTATGTTGTACAAAACAATAAATTTCATGGTAAATGGAAAATTTACAATAAAAAAGGGGGGTTGTTAAGTATCTTAACAATGAAATTTTCGTGATTTTCCCATATAATTTTTTTTCAATAACATTATATATTATTGTTATTTTACTGTTGGTTGGCGAATTTATTGATTAAAAAAAATAACAGTGTACTTTAGAGTGTATGTGTTGGCTTGACAGATCTACTTTATCGACTTTAAAAATAAATCGAAAAAATAAAACATTGCCCCGGGAAGGGAAGGGGCTGGTATGTCTGTTACGGGTGGTCCTTTTTTTTACTGGTTATGGATCGAGATTCGATCCGGAACTTGTGAGAAATGCAGGCCAACTCCCCTGCGCTCGATATCCCTAGGTCACGTCTCCTTGGTGGTTGAGCGTCGTTGATAAGTTAATGCATTCGACTGGAGAGAATCGCCCATGAAATATGCTTCCACCTGAGAGTTACTTCCTGACATCTTCAAGTGGTGGAATTTTTTATTATTATTGTATGATTATTGACTGCACGGAAAAGGTCTCCATTAAGCTTTTGAGAGGGTCTAGGATAAGATATGAGCGGACGCGGACTGCCTGATTTTGAGCCAAACGAACTGTCAAAGCCAGAGCCATACGAGCAGCGCCTATCTTAATTACATTGGCAGTGTTGCTGACCCTCTCATAGTCTGCATGCTTCAATTAGATTTATTTTTATTGTTCGTGAAGTAACCCACAATGAAAATACACCAATATTTAATGTAACAACAATTTTTATTGTAATAGAGTTGTTAATTATTGTTCATGATCGAATCATGTTAACAATAAAATAAATGAAAAATACGATAAAAATCATTGTAACAACATTTTATTATGTACATTCATTGTACATCTAGGTAGCAGTTTTGCCGTTTTCGGAAGAGTACAACATTATAACAATCATTTTTATTGTCGACAATAAATATTAATGTTAGAGCATTGTTTCCACTGAAAATTTCACTGTAATTTTTTTTTCGGGTAGTTATACCGAAAATAAGTGTTTTCTGCAAAATAGTATTTCTAACTATGGTCTTTGTTTCAGTGATATGCATTTTAGCACGGCAAAAAAAATTACCCATCGCTAAGTTATTTTCAATTTTTTGTACCCAAAATTAAGTTCAATTAACTCAAATTTGTTTATATCGCATATTACTCAATTTTGGCTTCTCGTACGGAACTAGACGGTTGAGTCGAATCTTTCGTTCTATTTTTGACAACAATAGCGAGAGAAAATGAAACGGGCTGAGGTCAAATAACTCAAATTTGAGTTTAAAAAACCCAAGCGGTGGGTAGTTTTGTTTTTCTGTGTAAGTAGCTAGTTTAGTAGTCCCCGTATGTTCCATCATCAGAAACCTACACGGAGAAAAAATACTACCCAAAATTTACTTAAATTTGGGTTATTGGGCTGAACCCCGGAAATGAGGGAAAATTACTTAATTTTGGGTAGTTTTTCATCTCCGTGTAAAGAGCCTGAATTTATAAATTCAGGCTCTTTACAGAAACCTCGAGCCGGACGGGACATTATTCGGGATGGGTACGCATTTTTGACATTTCCACATTTCTTTTGATTTGCGAGGTGATTTGAGATACAGAGAGAGGTGAAGCAGATCGTGAAATATTGGTGGATTAGTAAACCAAAAAATCAACGTAAACGCAATTAGTGACGTCACTAATCGCTTGTATCGTGCAGTGGTTTTACTCACCCCTATTCAAACGAACGAGTGACCGGAATAGAAATATACCATAAGATGAATCGTTACTGTTATTAATGTTCCTTTCCGGTTGACATCACCGTAAGATTCATCATCCGTTTATAATGTTATGATACATTTAAAAAATATTTCAACCATATCAGGCATAATATTTGATAACGGCACAAAAGCATTTGTAAACAAACTTTCTAAGGCTCTTTACACGCGAACCAAAGTACGCCTACGCAAACCAACAACATCATCGGATAGGGGAAACTATCACCTTTCCGAAAGTGGTATTGGTTTGCGTGGCCGTACTTTGGTTCGCGTGTAAAGGGTCTTAGAAAGTTTGTTTACAAATGCTTTTGTGCCGTTATCAAATCTTATGGCAGATATACTACAATATATGCAATATACCACGTTGGGTACCGATTCCCAAATTCCTGAGGGGTTCGTGGATTTTTTTTTATGTTTCGAGTACCAGTAAGAGAGTACCAGAGTGTAGGAAAGTGATGCTGTGTAATCATAATAATATAAATAATAATAAAATATAAAATAGCAACTAAAAGTAAACTTACTGTTTAATCACATCTGTTTGTGTCCTCCGAAAATTGGAAGATTACGATTGGTTGACGGCTTTATCAGTAGCAAAGCAAATACTATAAGAGCAAGCATTATCATTTTCCCGTCATTCAATTGACGGACGGCGAGGAGAGCACATCTCCATAAAAACAGCAGCGGTGCCCCACTCGGGCTCATTCAATTGACGGACGGCGAGGAGAGCACATCTCCATAAAAACAGCAACGGTGCCCCACTCGGGCTCATTCAATTGACGGACGGCGAGGAGAGCACATCTCCATAAAAGCAGCAGTGCCCCACCCGGGTTCATTCAATCAATCGGTAGGCAGCAACCGCTTTGGCCAGCTGAGGGTTTTTCTGAGTTTACCTCACTGCGGCTTTAAGCGATCTGCAATCCCCATTCAGTGAACTCCCAGTATACCCAGACGGTGCCACAACCGTGGCGGATCTGCTCGGCGGACGGAGAGGAAAGCAGCAGCCGTGTCCATATTCCGTGGCCGACGAACAGTAAGCAATACGCTTCGGCCAACTGAGGGTTTCCTTGAGTTTACCTCACGGCCCCAAAGCGATCTGGAATCACAACCCAGTGGTCATCCGGACAGTACTGGACAGCGGGACACCCAGATCTGCTCGGCGGACGGAGAGGAAAGCAGCAGCCGTGTCCATATTCCGTGGCCGACGAACAGTAAGCGATACGCTTCGGCCAACTGAGGGTTTCCGTGAGTTTACCTCACGGCCCAAAAGCGATCTGGAATCACAACCCAGCGGTCATCCGGACAGTACTGGACAGCGGGACACCCAGTAAGGCTCCCTCAGACTTGCACACCTGACACCATGGAGCAACACCATTTTGTGAAGGCACCCGACAGGCCCGCTGAAAATCACGACACAGAGCTGAGCCAAAAAGTTGAGCACGTTTCTTCGGGACCTTCTAGTCTTAGAGTTACCTAAATGATAATACTGTATGTGTTCTAAAAATGTGTTCCGTTTCAGGTTAGCGAAGATCTTTATGAGGAAGAAGCGAGGGAAGAAGTGAAATTTACATGCTGAAGGGTCCGAACCTGTTCTAAGAGCAGCAACCCTCATAGACCGATCCCGGGTGGATTATTAATTATTTGTATAAAATAAAGTGTGTAAAGCTTTCTTTTTAATGATTCAGGTTTTTTTTTTAAAGGTATAAATTAGTTTGATGACAGATAGCCCCATGAAGCATAAAACAAATCAATAAAATTTTTACTTTTTACACATGTGCGAGAAAAGCATCCCGCATAAACGCGAACCATAAATTGACCTTACCTAAAATGGTTAAAAATTGTTTATAATCCCTGCTAAACTTTAACTGAAATGGTTATGGAACTTTACATGAACGTTTAATGATAAAGTTTCAACCTTATGTATTATGGTTTTTTGGAACTGGACCTTACAAATAATGGGTTGTTAAGAACCATTACCATTCCAAATTCTTGTTTTCTCCATACATTTTCAGAAAGAGAACTATATAAGAACGTTTTTACTTATGATTTGAGAACATTAATGGTAATGGTTATGGTAGTCAGTAAGGTCCATTAATGGTTTTGTATTATCGCTCAACTTTACGTGGAATATATCGTGAATTGGTAATCAGTAAATTACAGGCAACCAATTCGCGATATATTCCACATAAAGTTGATCGATGTTACAAAACCATTCGTGGACCTTACTGACTACCATAATCGTTACCATTAAAGTTCTCAAACCATAAGTTAAAAGGTTCTAATATAGTTCTCTTTCCGAAAATGTATGGAGAAAACAAGAATTTGGAACGGTAATGGTTCTTAACAACCCATTATTTGTAAGGTCCAGTTCCAAAAAACCATAATACATAAGGTTGAAACTTTATCATTAAACGTTCATGTAAAGTTCCATAACCATTTCAGTTAAAGTTTAGCAGGGATTATAAACAATTTTTAACCATTTTAGGTAAGGTCAATTTATGGTTCGCGTTTATGCGGGATGGGAGAAAAAATACCCATTTAAAGAATCAGCTCACAGTTGAATAATGGGTATATTTTTTACCCACTAATGAAAAAAAACTTTGAAATTTTATGATCTCATTTCTGTCACCGATTCATTGGGAATGCAAATAGTTACTGTCGGCAGCTTTTTAGCTACTACTTTATTTGCTTATCTTTGACAGATACGCGTATTTCGTCTACAATGTGCAGACTTCTTCAGTGTCTTGTACGTTGTACTAATACTCGACTGTACAAGACACTGAAAAAGTCTGCACATTGTAGACGAAATACGCGTATCTGTCAAGGATAAGCAAATAAAGTAGTGGAATTAAATGGAAAATACTAATCCTTCTCTCTCTCATTATACAGGTATTCCACTAAGACGCCCACATTCATCAGGAGCTTTTTAGCGAAAATGGGAGATCTCCGGAAAAGATTAGAATCCGGAACGTTGGAGAGGCTTACTGATGAGTAAATACAATTTCATCCATCATATTGTATCATAATATTTCGTGTAATAAAATTTGATCGGAACACCTGCATTTATTTTCAATGTATTAGATAGTTTTTTATATCAACAAGGACAAAGAACCAAGCGCTTGCATTCTCCTTTTGAAAAAATAGGTATTTTTTCACCCATTTTACGGTAAACACAATTTAAGAAAATGGGTAATAAAACACCCATTTATTGACAGACCACCCATTTACCCATTAATGAGTAAACCATAGTTTACCTATTAAATGAGGAGGGGCACTTTTAGCAGAAATGGGTGTTTTTATACCCATTAATGGGTTTTTGCGAAACACCGTGATACTTCCATCATCAGAAACCTACACGGAGAAAAAATACTACCCAAAATTTACTTAAATTTGGTTATTGGGCTGAACCCCGGAAATGAGGGAAAATTACTTAATTTTGGGTAGTTTTTCATCTCCGTGTAAAGAGCCTGAATTTATAAATTCAGGCTCTTTACAGAAACCTCCTCTTACCACCCCTTACGAGCCGGACGGGACATTATTCGGGATGGGTACGCATTTTTGACATTTCCACATTTCTTTAGTGATTTGCGAGGTGATTTGAGATACAGAGAGAGGTGAAGCAGATCGTAAAATATTGGTGGATTAGTAAACCAAAAATCAACGTAAACGCAATTAGTGACGTCACTAATCGCTTGTATCGTGCAGTGGATTATTCTCAGTGCATAAGAAAATCACAGCTCAAAAAGTTGCGACCCTGTACATGTTTTGAAGAATTTAGCAACACGTCGGCAATTGTAAACATAAACAAAAAATAATCACAAAATCAGGCAGCTGTAATTATTAATAGCAGTTGATGATTCAATCTATTTCGCGTTATTTTTAGTTTATTCCATAGCTTGTAATAATATTTTATATTATATTACTAACAGTCCGTGTAATGTCAGTGAGCATTAAATTAAACAACTTGCTATCGCACTGTTGTGTTTGCTTGAAGTTGATCCAGGAGGAATCCGAGGCCGTCCGAGCTGATCATGTTCATCTAGATTCCGGTCTCTCTGTCTACGACTTGCTAGTCGAAACTCTATTGGATTCTTCAATATTGGTATGGGATCGCGTGATTGAGTTAAAAAAGAGCTTTAATCAAACTTATTGCTTTTAGAAAGATCGTCTTGGTATACGAGGCACAATTTGCCAAATATGCTGCCGCACGCTTCAGGACTTCCACCAGTTTCGCAGCCAATGTACGGAAATTTACAAATTATATGAAGCATTGCTGCATACTAAGGATTCCAGGGACGAAGAACAGCTCCTGAAGCATTTAGAGGAGAAGACTGCGTCCAGTTTGCGATCTCATCTGTTTCGTTTGGGTATAATTTCGCCGGAAGATATTTCCGCCGATCTTTTCCTATATGGAATAAACTTTATTAAGAATGAGTTTAGCGAGGAAATAATATTAGATAATCCCAAAGAAAAATCAAATAAATTATTACTTGATGGTTCCCCGTCATCGGAATTCGAGCCTCCAGAAGATGAGATCAGGCAGGAGTCAGCGGAATCGGATTCCTGTGAAGACAAACCCTTGGCTGAAATCAAACGAAAAAGTCTCTACCGAAAGGCTGCAGATTCTCAACAAAAGTATTACGCCGTTTGCCCATCTCCGGACTGCCAGGAATTGCTGGATGGGCAAAAGTACGCTAGCCATCTGAAAGAGTTTCACCGGTACGGCTGTAAGCAGTGTGGTTTGATTTTGAGTTCCAAGTACACGATGGGAAAGCATACCACAATTCACGTGAAGCTCCCTTCAACCGTAAAGTGTACCTTCTGCGAGCGAATGTTCCCCAATTTAGCTAAAATGCGCGCCCATGCCAGGGATGTTCACTTGCAACAGGCACTCAACTATAAGTGCGAGGAATGTGGTGAAAAGTTTGAAAAGTAAGTTTTTGCAGTGCTGTTATGCATATGTATTCAACATGTCTAAATGATTGTTTTTTTTTTTTTATTCAGGCGCAAGCTATTAAATTTGCATTGTGAAATGCATCTACCGAAAGATTGTTCTCTTTGCAAGGCGAAGTTTGATCATCCAAACAAACTATTCTACCACGTGAAGAAAAGCCATCCAGAACAGTTGCTTAGCTGTGACCATTGTGCGAGGAAATTTCTAACGCAATCCAAATTAAATCGCCATCAAGTTGACCATTCGGAAAATTCGCCGCAAGAAGATGGCTACGAACTACTAACCCTCAAATCGATATCCATCTTCGTTTGCAGCCAGTGTGAGAAGCAGTTCACCTCGGAAGCTCACCGTTCAGCGCACATGACAAGCCATGACCCGGCCAGCCGACCCAAGATAGTGGTCAAAAAACGCTCCAAAGAAGAGCTGGACAAGCTGGAAAAGAAATACCAATGCGATCAATGTGATGCCAGCTATCGGCTGCCGACCTCGCTGGAGTCGCACATGAAAACCCATTCCGCTGCTCCGTTTGTGTGTGACATCTGTGGGTCATTTTTCAAAGCCAAAAGTTACCTCAAACAGCACGTGACCTATCGGCATTCGAGAGATTTCCGCTATTTCTGTGATTTCTGTCCAAAGGCTTGCGCCACTAGTTCGGATTTGCTGCGGCATAGGCGTGTCCACACAAACGAGCGCCCGTACCAATGTGATCAGTGTGAGGCTCGGTTCAAAACCAACGACGGCTATCGGAAACATTTGCGCTCGCATTCGGGTGAGAGGATCTATCGATGCGATCTATGCGAGCGACAGTTTATGTGCCACAGCAGCTTAAAGACGCACAAGATTGCACACACTAATGAGAAGGCATTCAAGTGCTTTCACTGCACGCAGTATTTCAATGTGCCCAAAAATCGGCGGAGACACATTCTGAGGACACATCCCGGATTACCCACAAAGCAGCCAGTAACGGAGTGAACCCTACTGTGCAGGTATGTGCTTGATACATTTCTCAAATAAAACTTAAAGAATCGAGCTGAAGGGAAAGGTCGGCGGAATAGGGCAAAAGAAAGCATTCCATAATAAAGGCTGACCAGAAGTAAATTGGTACGCCCCTCGCGCGCCTCTAGTGTTGGGAATCGAAAATCTTTGACAGTGCTGGATCGTCAATAGAAAAGAGCCCATCAGCATTTGTAAACAAATCGTTTGAAAGCCGATTACTCACAAAGCGAAGGCCACCCACGCAAACCAACACCATCATCGTGTAGGTGGAAGTTTCCCCTATCCGATGATGGTGTTGGTTTGCGTGGGTGGCCTTCGCTTTGTGAGTAAACGGCTTTGAATCGGTTTGTTTACAAATGCCGATGGGCCCTTTTCTATTGTTGATCCAGAGTAGTTTGTTTACACTTCTATAGAGAACAACTACTGGTGCAAGTTTGATCAAAGTAGTCGATCGCGTTCAGAAATAAGGTAAAATGGAACTCGAAAGAAGATAAAATATTGTACACAAACACCTCGAAAATCCTGAGTGGTCCGGTTCCAAACTGGCTACTAAAGTGCTGAAGAACAACAGTTTGTCGAGTGCTCAAAACCTACAAGGAAACCCTGAGCGTGGAAAGGAATCAGCGGACCTACGAAAAAACTGGAACCAGGGAACGTCAGCTGCGCATCAAGGTGTTGAGGTGCGTTAAAGCCAACCCCGGTCTTTCGATCCGGGATGTGGCCAGAAGGTACAACGCCAACCATTCGTCACATCCTCGACAATGACATCCCAAGTTTACATCGAAGAATGACTGAAAAAGCGTATATTGCCGTTCATCCGTGCAGCATAGGGGCAAAGTCATCTTTTGGTCTGATTTGGCCAGCTGCCACTACTACAAGTTGGTTCTGGAGTGGTATATTTCAAAAAGATCGATGTTGTCCCCAAGCTAATGAATCTTCCGATTTGCCCGGAATTTCGACCAATCGAAAAATACTGGGCAATTTCAAAGCAGCGACTTCGACGAAGCGGCGGGGCAGTCAAGGACATCCAGAAAATGCGGGCAAAATGAAAGAAATGCGCTGATTCCGTGTCCGTTTTCACTGTGCGGGCGCTGATGGGTGCCATCAAGAGGAAGGTTCAAGATTTCGTTCGAACTGGAGAAATGTAACCATCTGTAACTTTGAAGTTTTAATGAAAGTACTGTAAAGCAACCATAATGGACTTTTTAAACTTATTATTACAGGTCTTTTTGTGCGTACCAATTTACTTTAAGTCATACTTTATTCTAGTCTTATAGACGCATCTCTAGGAACCTCGGATAAACGGCTGCCTAGCTGAAACTTTTCTGATTCGAAAAAAAAATTGGACCTCCAAAATTATGATTTAATTCAGAGACTTGGGGCTCATTATAAACTAATTTAAAAAAAAAACAAATTTAGTCCATTCTGGCAACTCCCATGGAAATTCAAAATCTTTTCTTGTTTGATGCATAATATAAAAACAAACAGGTTTCTACCAATACTCTAGCTTCCACTATTTATTTCCATTTACTACCATCCCTTCAAATTTGTTCTCCAACCGTCAATCTTTCGTCTCAACTTTAACCGCCTCAACAACCCGCCCCCCGTCCACCGAAGTCATTGCAACTTCCATCGGCTCTTTATTACCGCTGCTTCCCGTCGCATTCTGCTGCTGATTTAGCTTCTCCAGTTCCCTTCCTATCGGCATTCCGACGTGGTGCCGCCGACAGTGCTTTCGTCGGTTGTTGGTCGAATTGAAATACAACTCACAGTACCAACATTTGAACGGTTTCTCCAGCGTGTGGTTCCGGATGTGGATCTTCAGTAGTTGGCTACACGCATACGACTTGTCGCAGCCCTCGTATGCACATTTGTACGGCTTCTCGCCTGTATGCACGCGGAAGTGTTTCGTCACTGCCGATTGTGTTTTGTATGCCTTATCGCATCCTTCGTACGAACATTTGTACGGTTTTTCGTTGGTGTGGCTTCTCCTGTGGATCTTCAGATCGTTTTTGGTGATACAGCGCTTATCGCAAAACTCGCATCCAAACGGTGTGTCCTTGGTGTGCATATACCGAACGTGCATTTTCATCTCGGGTTTCGCCTTGAAACACGCCCCACAGTGCTCGCAGATAAACTTCTGTCCGCTGTGGTTCTTCCTCCAGTGACCCTTGAGAGATGTCTTCAGTCGAAACCGAGCGGGGCAATCGTCGCATTTGAACTTGTACTCCAATCGGTCCAACTCCTCTTGGGTTCGCTTTTTGAAGTTCGTATTTCTGATTGGCTTTTCTGAGAGGCCTTTATTATGGTCATTCTCTATGTGACTTGCCCGATATTCGTGGTTATAAAAATCTCTCTCGCAGGTGTGACATTGCGCTGCGGTCCAATTTCTCAGAGGGAATTGAATGCTGTTTTCCATCCTTCCATCGCGATGTCTTCTGGCGTGCATTTCAAGCTCTTTGGAGCCAAGAAACACTGTCTTACAGATATTGCACGGAATAAGTTCCTCGCGGTGGTCTTTCCTCATGTGTTCCAGCATGGTCCGATAGGTTTTGAATTGTCTGGTGCAAAATTTGCAGTTGGTGTGCGTTTCACGGTGCTCAAGAAGATCTACTTTTCTGTAAGCATACAACCTTTATTAGGGATTTAAAAAATAAACATAACTAAGGTAACATACTTTCCGAAACGTTCCCCACAGAACGGGCACTCGTGCGTTGGGACGTCGATACCGTGGAATTCCCGCCTATGAAACTTAAGGTCAAATTCGCGCCAAAACGGTTTCTCACACACCTCACACCGATACCTATCTTCATCGTTTTTGTGGATCGCCAGGTGATGCACAGCTTGCGCGTGGGTCAAAAACACCAAGCCGCAAAACCTACAGTAGGCACGGTGCTTCTCCCGTGTGTGTTTATCCGCTTGTCCCACTGGCACCGGCTCGCAATTGTCCAGATAGCACGGTCGGGTTCGAACTCCATCGACAATTTTTACTCTGTCGAAACTTCGCTTTCGCCTCTTGGAAAGCACGTCTTCCAAACTTTTATCTTGTTCCAGCAGTAGATCATCGGGAAGTTGTTCCACATTGTCGTCATCTCGCTCCTCATAATCAAATTCGTTCACACTTATATCCTCGTCTGCATCCCTATTACAGCGGAAACCCAGCAATGGATCTTCGACGTCTTCCAGCTCAACTTTCACTTCTACCTTTACGATGAATTCTGGATCAAGTCTAGAGTCTGTGATCAAATCTTCCAACGGTGCGTCTTCACTATCAATGACCTTGAGGCGATGCAAAGTTTTGCGGATTGTGGGATGAAACTTTGTTTGATCACACAACAGCTCCGTCATTGGGACAGTGTCTGCTCCGAATCTGTATGCGGTCCATGCTTTCAGAAATTGTTGATTTGCAATCGTTTCGAAGCGAAATGTTTGGAACGTCTCGATTTGCTTAGCACAGCTGCGACACATCTGCTGAGGGAGATGATCTTCGTTGGAATGCTGTAAAAATGTTAAGGTGATTTCTTAATCAGGTTGCATTTTTTTTCTCAATTATCTAACTACTTATAAAAGCTCAACTGCAGGAACTTCCCGGAGCCGTTATTTGAATTTGTTTAAATAAAGTGTCTCAAGACTCAAGTTAGTTAGAAGAGATTATAAGCACAAGGAACCATTGATTTAAATTGAAATGAAGTTAAAAAAAATATATGCGGAAGTTTGTACGGTCCCATGAAGTCACAACACAGGCCGAATATAGGTCTAGGTCTAGAACAAGGACCCAACAGTTTAATCATAACAAAACCTGTATGATCTTACCTGTCGTACCACTCCTGGACGGTCCAAAGAGCATAGGTCGGAAAGAGCAGACCAAAAACTGTTGACACCATCCAGCATTTGGGCCTTGGCCGGTATTGATTCATTTTCGATGGTTTCCACAAAGCATACCCGACAGACGTTCGGGTAATTTGGAATATTCACTTTCCTGTCCATAATTTCAATCCATTTTTCACAGAAACAGTACGATTTTGAGTACGACTACGAAAAGTTTGTTTTGGTTCTGTTTGTCAGCTTTGACGTTATGCGTTACGGTTTATTTATTTTTTACACTTTCAATGAAAACCACTCATTTTATACATATTTTCCGAGGGGGGCGCGCTTCCAGCACAGAGAACAGACGTCCAAGTTCTGTCAGAAACTTGTGTAAAGTTAAGTGGAAACGTCGCCGTTACGTAGGCTATCATCTCCTGATTTCCTCTATAAATTTATCGCTTTCGACCAACTTGGCGCTAGTATCGATAAAATTATCTGTTGAAAATTGCCACTTGACGCTACCAGCACTTAAGGGCCACCCACATTAGATCCGTTTGCGTTAAGTTGACGTTAATTTGACAGTTAGACAATAGATTTAGCTGTCATTTTACCGCAACGCGTCCGATCCGGATCTAATGTGCGTGGGCCTTTAGTGTCTAGTGTAAGTTTTGCAACGCCAGCGCCATCATGTTGTCAAAGAGGGTTTTTAAGTGGGGAAGTCGCCGTTATTGGCGCTTAAGTCGAATAGGAATCTTTACACAAGTTTTTAGAGAAATTTTGTTCGAGCCTCAACGTCTGTTCTCTGTGCTTCCAGGCAGTGTTGTAAGCGGTCACCGCAGTTGACATATTTTCTGTGATAATCGACTGCCTTTGCTTTCGACACGTGCAAAACAAGTTATCAAATTACAGTACCAAACGGTCAGAAACTCAAACTCGTGTAAAATAAGTGGGAACGTCGCCGTTACGTGGTGTTAGCATCTCCTAATTTTCTCTATAAATTTTCCACTTTCGACCAATTTGGCGCTAGTATCGATAAATTTTGTGTTGAAAATTGCCACTTGGCGCTACTAGCACTTAGTGTTTAGTGTAATTTGTGCAACGCCAGCGCCATCATGTTGTCAAATAGGGGTTTTAAGTGGGGAAGTCGCCGTTAGTGGCGCTTAAGTCAAATAGGAATCTTTACACAAGTTTTTAGAGAAATTTTGTTTGAGCCTCCATGTCTGTTCTCTGTGCTTAAATGTCATACGACGCTTTCGGCGACGATGTATGTATTTTAGTTTTCCTTATAATAAAAGCTGCTGATGTTGTGCTTGTGTGAATTGTGAAAATTGCAAGCAACAGAAAATTTATCGATACTAGCGCCAAATTGGTCCAAAGTGGAAAATTTGTAGAGGAAATCAGGAGATGCTGGCGCAACGTAACGGCGATATTCCCACTTATTTTACACAAGTTTCTGACCGAAGTTGAACGTCTGTTCCCTGTGCTTGAATGTTATTCTACCCAAGGTGACTACATATAGGTTTTCTAATGTGTCAAATTCATGATTCAGCCATGTTGGATTTTTGTATGGGACAGCGACCGAGTTCGTTTACAATTTGCTCTAAAACCGCACTTTCCCCCCCCCCCCCGCGACCTCCTCGCCTATATAGTGACAAAGCTGCATCACCATTTATATACCCACCATGGTTCTACCGTTTGTGTTGTGCAACAGATACGATAGTAGAGCATGAGAGCACATACAGACTGTCGCGCACGACAACGAAGCGAGTGTAGTGAAAAACGTCAACCGTTTCAACCCCTGCTTCCAGGTATCAGAGACGATGTTTTATATGAAACACGTGGAAAGAATAAAAGTAAATCTGGTTGCACGGCCATCTAAGTTATTTTTTTGATCGTTTCGGTAGTATCGGTATTGAATAAGTATTTGAATACATGCTTGGCATGCACAGTTGTACACGCCAACTGCTCAATTGGTAATAACTTTTCACTCAGATGCTGAAATTTATTTTTCTTTAAAGTAATTGATAGATTATGTTCATAGTTTACTATAGATATGCGAAGATTAGGTAAAGCTTAACATTTGAATCAACACTAATCAATTTAAGACTTAAATTCCGAGATGTGTAGTGAGCATTTATCACCTCATTTTTACAACGCAAAAACAAATACAGTTTACTACTAGCATTTAAATCTACTTTTTTTACATATCTATAACAAGCTTACACTCTATTCTATCTACTGCTTCAAAATAAATAAATAAATAAATAATAAATAAATAAATAAATAAAAAAGAACTATGTTCCGTCAACTGTGTGCAAAGTTATTAGCAAATAAGCAGTTCGTGACCAAAACTGTGTATGCCAAGCATGTTTAAATAATCAATTTTTGACAACACAGAGTGAAATCTAATATACCATATTGACAAATCCATGTTTCAATCGACCACCATGACGCTCCAATCGCAGCGGTAATAAGTCGGAAATAATGTGAATACATTTTTGAAATTTTAACCAAAAAACTATTATTTTCTATTTATTCTAGCGAGTTTCTGTGGGAGTCAAAACATGATCCGAGCAAAAAAGTAGTACTCGTAATAATGGTATATAATGCTGAATTTATCGTGCTTTGTTTCGAAAATATCTTCCAAATAAACAAACATCATTCAAATCACCCGAATCGTCCACCGACTAAATCTATTGTCACTTAAAAATCAATTTCAGTCGGTGTATTAATCAGCAGATTAAATCGTTTTTCGTCTGGTGCTACACCGAGCAATCGGCCTATTTAATAGTTTTTCGTCGATTGATTTAGTCGGCCAACTTTGTCTGTTGTTTAATCGGCAGATGATTTCAAACCTTAATATGTTTTCAGTAATTTATAAGTCTTGAAGTAGCTTTTTATTTAAGAACAATGCATTACAAAATAGTTTTATGCATTTTGTACAATAGGGTAGAGAACTACTTCGGCCTAATCGCCCATTTTGGGCCTATCGGGCATAAAACTTCAAATAAATCCATGATTTCAGAGTTAACAAATCAATTATGCATTTGGTACGATTCTTTAATTAATAAGCTACGGAACGAAGTCAATGAGAACGCGTGATATGAAAGTTTGCACCCATTATTCCCAAAAACAAAAGAAGCGCTCCGACCGAATCGATTTTTATCTTCATCCGATAGGCCGAAGTGAATTCATTGGCGTTTCAATAGCGTTTCAATACGTTAGGCCGAGTTTAGAATCCGTAGGCCGAGTTTGGCGTCAAGAAGCAGTGCTAGACTTTTGACAATATCTCAACGATTGGTTTCTCTTTATCGAATCTGACGGTACATACGGAAAGGTAAATAAATTTGGAAGCCATCAGTAATAATAACATTCCATTTGGTGCTAAACTGCGCTAGATTAGGAAAGACTAAATGCGGGTTGTGCTTAGTAGGCCGAAAATGGGGTAGTTAACCCTATTCATCCATGCTGACAAGAAATTTTCATGAAATTACATTGAAATTAACTAATTTTGCAAACAATCAATGAAATTTTCAAGGGCTGTCACAGACTTATCACCGTCGGTTAGTGCTTATTCCTGCCACCAGGCGCGCATGAGTTTAAGTTGGATTTCTCAATTGGAGCGGATATTTTACAGAGCGTTGCTCAAAATTATGCAATTAGCGGTTCATGCTTCCTACCCTGTATGCAGAGTTGCGACCTATCACAATCACGATCGCCAAACAGCTGATGGTAGTAACGCTTTGTACATTCCTATCAATGTGCTCGTCGAAGCTCTCTCCATGACCATCCATCAAGTTGAAGAAAGAAGTAAAAAGCAACTGGTGAATGTCGTCTTCTGTTGTGATCCATCACCGATCTGGTCATTCCCGACAATCACGACACTCATCTGTGCTCGTTTTGAAGCAGTTGCTGCTTTGCTTGCTTATGTGAGTGTGTTGGTAAGTGAGCCCAACAGCTTCCGTTTCATGTTGCCTGCTTTGTTTGTAACTCACACAGTCGCGCCTGCCGAAACGAACTTGGAATGCGTACACACAAAAAATAATCGTTAATAAAATTAAAAAAACCATTGGTAGAATTAAAAGTTCGCGTTGGTTCTTTTTGGTAGAAAGCGGTGTGCTTTCAAAACGACAATCAGCCAGCTCTCAAATTAAAAGCTTTTTTAATTGTTAATTTTAAAAGTTGAAACTTTCAAATTGAATTGTAGAACTGTCAAATCGAAAACCTAATGCTTTTAGATTGGCGTTTCAAAAGTTTTGATTCAAAAGACGGACATTTTATCCCAATTATTTAAATTGTCATTTAAAAAATGAATAATTGATTCAATTGTTTTTATGCTTAAAAATCATAAACCCCATATTAATGTTTATTTAAAGTATTTTGTATTATATTTCTGTTTTAATTGAGCTTCAGCAAGGGCTACTCAGGCCAAATCTAACTACAGTGAACAGATATTCGTCGGTGGCGGATGACGTTGGGAAGGTTTCCCCCGAGACGTGCAGCTCCACTTTGCAGTGGGCTCGAAACGAATGTGCATTTGCTGCTGACCGACAATTAGCATTGGTCTGGTGTGAATCGGGAAACTTCATATTACCAATTGCTTACCGCTTCCCTTCGTTGAACCATCTTCGATTACTTTTCCATTGGGTCATACAGGTTAATCTTCCTTTTTTTGTTTTGAAAACCTAAAGAGAACAAATTGAAAGATTTTGTTTCAACTAAGTAAATTAGCAATAAGTAACTGTATTGTTGAACTTTTACCAATAAGGGTCAATGATGTGACGAAGCGTTTTACGTTTTTAATAACTGACATCATCCTAAATTCGTATATGTACGTATCCGGATAGATATTCCAAGCATCTCTGCTGCTTGCCTCAGATCTGTAGGATTCATCGTCTGTTTTGAGCCCAACCGGGAATGAACAGCAGAGGTTGGGACATGCTTCAGCTTCTTCTTCGGTAGATGGCGAAGCATTTTCGTCACGTTGTCCTTGTTCAGATAATTGTTATGATGCAAATCTAGAAGCAGTAGTATTTGTATGGTTAGAGCTAAAACAGGAGCTTCATTGGGGAAGTCGGAACGAATCATTTTTCGTATGAACGCTTGTATGAAAACAGTCGTTTCGTCTTGCCTCCAGGTGTTCAAATCGATTCCGATTCGAAGATCTCAACACTTACCGCATTGGTTGAATTCAGGCAGATTTATGAAGAGCAGAATAAATTGTTGGCCACT